ATCATCTGTCCAATCACAGCACAACGCATCTGTCCAAGCACAGAACAAACCATCAATCCCGTCACAGAAAAAATCATCTGTCCAATAACAGAACAAATCAACTGTTCAATCACAGAACAAATCATCTGTCCAATCACAGCACAACGCATCTGTCCAAGCACAGAACAAACCATCAATCCCGTCACAGAAAAAATCATCTGTCCAATAACAGAACATATCAACTGTCCAATCACAGAACAAACCATCTGTCCAATCACAGCACAACGCATCTGTCCAATCACTGAACAAATCATCTGTCCAATAACAGAACAAATCACTTGTCCAATCAAAGAACAAATCATCTGTCCAATCACAGAAAAAAAAATCATCTGTCCAATCACTGAACAAATCATCTGTCCAATCACAGCACAAATCCCCTGTCCAATCACAGAACAAATCCTCTGTCCAATCACAGAACAAATCATCTGTCCAATCACAGAAAAAAAATCATCTGTCCAATCACTGAACCAATCATCTGTGCAATCACAGAACAAATCATCTGTCCAATCACAGAACAAATCATCTGTCAAATCACAGAACAAATCATCTGTCCAATCACAGAAAAAAATCATCTGTCCAATCACTGAACCAATCATCTGTCCAATCACTGAACAAATCTCCTGTCCAATTACTGAACAAATCATCTGTCAAATTACTGAACAAATCATCTGTCCAATCACAGAACAAATCATCTGTCCAATCACAGGACAAATCACCTGTCCAATCACAGAACAAATCACCTGTCCAATCAGTGAACAAATCATCTGTCCAAGCACAGAAGAAAGCATCAATCCCGTCATAGAAAAATCATCTGTCCAATCACAGCACAAAGCTTCTGTCTAATCACTGAACAAATCATCTGTCCAATAACAGAACAAATCACCTGTCCAATCACAGAACAAATCATCTGTCCAATCACAGAACAAATCATCTGTTCAATCACAGAAAAAAAAATCATCTGTCCAATCACTGAACCAATCATCTGTCCAATCACAGAACAACTCATCTGTCCAATAACAGAACAATTCATCTGTCCAATCACAAAACAAATTATCTGTTCTATCAAAGAGAAAAAATCATCTGTCCAATCACTGAACAAATCTCCTGTCCAATTACTGAACAAATCATCCGTCCAATTACTGAACAAATCATCTGTCCAATTACTGAACAAATCATCTATCCAATTACTTAACAAATCATCTGTCCAAGCACAGAACAAATCATCTGTCCAATCACAGAACAAATCATCTGTCCAATCAAAGAACAAATCTCCTGTCCAATCACAGAACACATCATCTGTCCAATCACAGAACAAATCATCTGTCAAATCACAGAACAAATCATCTGTCCAATCACAGAACAAATCTCCTGTCCAATCACAGAACACATCATCTGTCCAATCACAGAACAAATCATCTGTCCAATCACTGAACAAATCATCTGTCCAATCAAAGAACAAATCATCTGTGCAAGCACAGAGCACATCATCTGTCCAATCACAGCACAAAGCATCAGTCCAATCACAGAACAAATCTCCTCTCTAATCACCGAACAAATCACCTGTCCATTTACAGAACAAATCTCCTGTCCAATCACAGAACAAACCACCTGTCCAATCACTGAACAAATCACCTGTCCAAGCAAAGAACATATCACCTGTCCATGCACAGAACAAAGCATCTGTCCAATCACACAACAAATCACATGTCCAATCACAGAACAAATCATCTGTCCAATCACTGAACAAATCATCTGTCCAATAACTTAACACATCACCTGTCCAATCACAGAAAAAATCATCTATCCCGTCACAGAAACAATCATCTGTCCAAGCACACAACGAATCATATGTCCAATCACAGAACAAATCACACGTACAATCACAGAAAAGAATCATCTGTTCAATCACAGAACAAAGCATCTGTCCATTCACAGAACAAATTTCCTGTCCAAGCACAGAACACATCATCTGTCCATTCACAGAACAAATCTCCTGTCCAAGCTCAGAGCACATCATCTGTCCAATCACAGCACAAAGCATCTGTCCAATCACAGCACAAAGCATCTGTCCAAGCACAGAACACATCATCTGTCCAATCACAGAACACATCATCTGTCCAATTACAGAACAAATCTCCTGTCCAATCACAGAATAAATCATCTGTCCAATCACAGAACAAATCACCTGTCCAATTACTGAACAAATCATCTGTCCAATCACAGCATAAAGCATCTGTCCAATCACAGCACAAAACATCTGTCCAATCACTGAACAAATCTCCTGTCCAATCACAGAGCACATCATCTGTCCAATCACAGAACAAATCATCTATCCAAGCACAGAGCACATCATCTGTCCAAGCAAATAACAAATCATCTGTCCAATCACTGAAAACATCACCCTGTCCAAGCAAAGAACAAATCATCTGTCCAATCACAGCACAAAGTATCTGTCCAATCATCGAACAAATCACATGTACAATCACTGAACAAATCATCTGTCCAAGCAAAGAACAAATCATCTGTCCAATCACAGAACAAATTTCCTGTCCAAGCACAGAACACATCATCTGTCCAATCACAGAACAAATCTCCTGTCCAAGCTCAGAGCACATCATCTGTCCAATCACAGCACAAAGCATCTGTCCAAGCACAGAACACATCATCTGTCCAATCACAGAACAAATCTCCTGTCCAAGCACAGAGCACATCATCTGTCCAATCACAGCACAAAGCATCAGTCCAATCACAGCACAAAGCATCTGTCCAATCACTGAACAAATTTCCTGTCCAAGCACAGAACAAATCACCTGTCGAATCACAGAACACATCATCTGTCCAATTACAGAACAAATCTCCTGTCCAATCACAGAACACATCATCCGTCCAATTACTGAACAAATCATCTGTCCAATTACTGAACAAATCATCTATCCAATCACAGAACAAATCATCTATCCAAGCACAGAGCACATCATCTGTCCAAGCAAATAACAAATCATCTGTCCAATCACTGAAAACATCACCTGTCCAAGCAAAGAACAAATCATCTGTCCAATCACAGCACAAAGTATCTGTCCAATCATCGAACAAATCACATGTACAATTACTGAACAAATCATCTGTCCAAGCACTGAACAAATCTCCTGTCCAATCACAGAACACATCATCTGTCCAATCACAGAACAAATCACCTGTCGAATCACAGAACACATCATCTGTCCAATTACAGAACAAATCTCCTGTCCAATCACAGAACACATCATCTGTCCAATCACAGAACAAATCATCTGTCCAAGCACAGAACACATCATCTGTCCAATCACAGAACAAATCTCCTGTCCAAGCACAGAGCACATCATCTGTCCAATCACAGCACAAAGCATCAGTCCAATCACAGCACAAAGCATCTGTCCAATCACTGAACAAATTTCCTGTCCAAGCACAGAACAAATCACCTGTCGAATCACAGAACACATCATCTGTCCAATTACAGAACAAATCTCCTGTCCAATCACAGAACACATCATCCGTCCAATTACTGAACAAATCATCTGTCCAATTACTGAACAAATCATCTATCCAATCACAGAACAAATCATCTATCCAAGCACAGAGCACATCATCTGTCCAAGCAAATAACAAATCATCTGTCCAATCACTGAAAACATCACCTGTCCAAGCAAAGAACAAATCATCTGTCCAATCACAGCACAAAGCATCTGTCCAATCACTGAACAGATCTCCTGTCCAAGCACTGAACACATCATCTGTCCAATCACAGAACAAATCATCTGTCCAATCACTGAACAAATCATCTGTCCAATCACAGCACAAAGCATCTGTCCAATCACAGCACAAAGTATCTGTCCAATCATCGAACAAATCACATGTACAATCACTGAAAACATCACCAGTCCAAGCAAAGAACAAATCATCTGTCCAATCACAGCACAAAGCATCTGTCCAAGCATAGAACAAATCATCTATCCCGTCACAGAAAACATCATTTGTCTAATCACATAATTGTTCACAATTGGTCAGTATTGTTTCATCAAATAGGACTACGGTACATGTACATGAATGTTGTGCTTGTGTTGAAAGTTTGGTTTGGCTTTGTTTGGTGTAACGTTCTGTTAATTAACGCCCTAGTTGCTTTAAGGACGTTGCTGTAGGACAACCGTCGGATGGGAATGTGTCTGGATTGAGAGTGGTGAAATACGGCAGGTGTTTAGGGACTTCATAATCTACCTTAATTGTTGATACTGAAATGTTTAAACCACGGGGTTTCTGTTTATTCATTTTAATTCGCGTGATTTCTTCTGATTAACCTATTTTTTGTTTATATTTCTTCCACATCTTAATTAGTTTTGGCCCCAAACCAGTTCCATTCTAATGATATTAAAGGGTGATGAAGAAACAGAAAAGAAATATTAAACAATAAACCAATGGTTTTGAATAGTTTGAGACAATGATGGTGAAGTATTGTGATGGTGATGGCGAGGACCAGGTTCGTGACATCTCTCTACACACCGGTAGCGTGTTGGACGATTCCCTCGGGCGCGGGCTCCACTCACTCAGCTCAGCGTACATCACAGCATCGCTGGGCAGGCTATCTCCCCAGCGTCTACCCTAAATGCAGTTTACTGCAAAGTCACATGCAGATGGCAACTCCAAAGTTTTTGTGACAAAATGGAGTTTCACAGCTGCATGTACGCTTGGAACAAAGTGAAGAAACATACACTGTAGCTACGCCTGGGACAAGGGGCAGTTACATTATTATATGCGCCGGGGATAAGGTGGAAACCGCTTGCTTAAAAAACACCTATTGTTTCAACAGCAATGGCGAATGAAACAATTGAAATCAACAGCAGAAAGCAATTTTAGATCCAGTGATGAGACATGTATCAAATTGAATCTCCGGACTGGAACGCCGAAAATATAATCAATATTTAGAAAAAGACTAGAAAAAGATCTGTGTTGAAGGCCCTCCCCCGACGCCCCAATGGTTTATGGTGTAGAAAGCCACTAGGGACGTCTTCCCACCATGTATAGTTTGATTAAATATTTTTTATCAACGTATAAAGATATATCATGTCAGATTGCTACATGTTTAATCGCTTGCTGGTTCGAGTGTGGCGATCTCTACAGACATAGCAGCCATCATACACTAAAGCCTCCGACCTTCCCAGTGATGTATAGCAGTGTACGACGTCGCCTGGTAAACCAGTTGGACACCCATCGCCGACAGTACCATTAACTCTAGGTTTGTTTCTTGTCATCAGTTAGCGACGTCACACAAGTCACCGACACGCTTGCTCCTCAATACTGTCGTCACTAACTAGAAGTTTCCTGTTATTTAGTTGGAATTACAAGCATCACCAACCACTGATGTGGTGTCATTAGTTGGTAATACTCACCATCACTATCGACTGGTCTCTTTTCCTCACCAGTCAAGATACATATGTGTTATTTAAAACCCTATGGGTAACGCATGTGGTCATACATAATGTCAGCATAAAAGTAGCACAGACTTCCGGTTCCTGTAACTTGAATATATGTTCTTAATGGCTATCATAATACTGTAAATAGAAATATCAAGAATTCTATCTTTGTTCCGATACAGGCTATATGTACGTACTGGAGTGTATACTTTCGTGCTGGTGAATTTCTATGTACTTCGCACTAGCGTCATAACGTGTCTGTATTGATGACGGTAGACGACACAGGGGCCAGCAATATCCTACCGCTAATTACAATAGGGCTATCTGGAAATCGAAACACGATTGATGAAGCGAAAAAATACATAGTTGCTTAGATGTTCTGATGCATAAAATCAAGATATGTATGTTACGGTATAAACAGATCTCTACCTGGGCATTAGAGACGCTTGAGGCGCGGACCAGGGACTGGAGCCCATGTATCGTTTTACCGTTCGGAAATCAAAGATAACGGTAGCAGGTGAAGTGTCGGGAGGATTGTCTAATACACCTAAACAATGATCACTCAACGATATACACTTCCCCACCAACAACTATTGCACGTGTGTATCTTAGTTACGCGCAACACGACAGGTAATGGGCGTGCTGTTGTAAAGTGACGAAACAATTCCGGAAGTGGATTACCGTCTCCCAACCCCCGACACACACAACACTCTGGGAATTATTGCCTGCAATTGTGAGTAAATCAATTAAAGTGTATTGCATGGCTTTGAAATTATCAAGTAGTATTACCTGATGGTGGGTGGGGGAGGGGGTGTTGTTCTTTAAGATACATTAAGGTAAAGCGTACCAATGACGCCTAACACTCAAGAAGACGAGGTCCACCTCAAAGCTGCCTAATCGTCTTTTGATTTTATATTAAAGTTGAAGCAACGAGATGGAGATTTTATGGTGTACAGTGACTTCCCTTGTCAATGTGTACAGTTCGTGTTGTTCATTGAAACTCCAGGGTGACAGTGGTAGGGCACATTCTTAGTACATGTAGTCTTTATTCTAACTTGATGATTTTCATAAAAGGAGCAATGGTACATGTGCATGTAACCATGCATTTAACATGAAAATACCCTTTACCTTAAGAAGTAATGGCTATTCATGTATTTTTTACAATTCCACTCAAATCGGGAATTATTTAAAACTAATATTGCTCGGTCAGATAGAACTATACCCCGCCTTTGAAAATATAGCGCGAAAAAGACATTTTAGTCATTGTGACAGAATGGAATACAAGCGATTAGAATAAGTTTATAACAAAGCGTAAAAGCAGGCAATCTGTATGTTTCACTTGCATTGGAAACCTTTTCAAATTATTCAGTAGGTAATTAATGAACTTGATTCAACGATTAGGAAACAGTACTTATATCGACCTGTCTCTAAAGTCGATCGTAATGAAGTTCATATATTACAATTAGTAACTGTTTTAATTTTCTATACAGTCCATACCAATACCAACCTGAAGAACTACGTTTATAAATATATCAACCGTCATAACGGTAGGAGGGCAACAGTGTTGATTTTTTTTTTTTTTTTTAAATAAACGGGTTAAAAATCAGAACGAGCGATACCATTATTGTTATATTGGGAGTTCAAAGACTATGGAGTCGATGCATGCTTGAGGTCTGAATAAAATGATGACAAAAATACTTCTTTTACATGTATGTTTGTTCCGATAACAATGGACTGGCTGTCTTCGATGTGTTATGTGACAACGCAGAATCAAGAAATGTAAACAGAAGTTTGCCCACATAGTATTAAGAGATATACACATAAGTATGGCAACACATTTTCCAGAAAGATACACAGAAGTACACGTATGACCACACGTATGACCACACATTATGACCACACGTATGACCACACATTATGACCACACGTTTGACCACACATTATGACCACAGGTATGACTACACATTATGACCACACGTATGAACACACATCATGACCACACGTATGACCACACGTATGACCACACATTATGACCACACGTATGACCACACATTATGACCACACGTATGACCACACGTATGACCACACATTATGACCACACGTATGACCACACATTATGACCACACGTATGACCACACGTATGACCACACATTATGACCACACGTATGACCACACATTATGACCACACGTATGACCACACATTATGACCACACGTATGACCACACATTATGACCACACGTATGACCACACATTATGACCACACGTATGACCACACATTATGACCACACGTATGACCACACATCATGACCACACGTATGACCACACGTATGACCACGCATTATTTCCACACGTATGACCACACATTTTGACCACACGTATGACCACACGTGTGACCACACATTATTACCACACGTATGACCACACATTATGACCACACGTATGACCACACGTATGACCACACATTATGACCACACGTATGACCACACATTATGACCACACGTATGACCACACGTTATGACCACACGATATGACCACACGTTATGACCACACATTATGACCACACATTATGACCAAACGTATGACCACACATTATGACCACTCATTATGACCACACGTTATGACCACACAGTATGACCACACGTTATGACCACACGTTATGACCACACGTATGACCACACGTTATGACCACACGTTATGACCACACATTATGACCACACGTATGACCACACATTATGACCACACGTTTGACCACACATTATGACCATACGTATGACCACACATTATGACCACACGTTATGACCACACATTATGACCACACGTATGACCACACATTATGACCACACGTTTGACCACACATTATGACCATACGTATGACCACACATTATGACCACACGTTATGACCACACATTATGACCACACAGTATGACCACACATTATGACCACACATTATGACCACACGTATGACCACACATTATGACCACACGTTATGACCACACAGTATGACCACACGTTATGACCACACATTATGACCACACGTATGACCACACATTATGACCACACGTTTGACCACACATTATGACCATACGTATGACCACACATTATGACCACACGTTATGACCACACATTATGACCACACGTATGACCACACGTTATGACCACACAGTATGACCACACGTATGACCACACGTTATGACCACACATTATGACCACACGTTATGACCACACGTATGGCCACACATTATGACCACACGTTATGACCACACGTATGGCCACACGTTATGACCACACGTTATGACCACACAGTATGACCACACGTTGTCAATGCTTATACACAGGAATAATATTATTATTATATCTTTATTTCCTCCAAATTGAAGAGTTACAAAAATATACAGTGTAGTCAAAATACAAATCAAATATTATTAATTGATACTTACATACACATAAATACATCAGTTAACTACATAGAAGAAGAGAGAAGTTAATGAAACTTAAATTAGTTTAGTAAATACAGAAAGAACAGCAAAACATA